CAAATTTCTCACACACGCCCATAACATTCATTCTTGATCAGTCTACGTTCTTTTATATGTATCGAGATGCCTTACATACAGTATTCAAAGAATGAGACCTCCACTGTGACAAGAAAAAACGCACAAGAATGTTGAAATTGATTTCATTAGTTCTGGTCACAGGACTTTGAGTAGCTACCCTGAGTCAGAGTTGAATCACTCCCATGCCTTCCGCCTGCCAACTTTTCAACTTCACGTATAGAGCAGATTTGTCGCCTGATTGCCGTTACTATGGCAACTTGTGAGGTCGGTCGTGGTTCAGAAAGGGCTGAGCTTCTTGAATGGAGGGAAATTTTGCCTGACGAATTTCTGGGAATCGTTTTCCTTTTTACTGAAGTTCCAGTTAGTTCTATGGTCCGTAGGTAATTCTTTGCGCTCCGGTTCCAATTGGAAAATGCGAACGAAAAATGCGAAAGTATAAAACAAAAAGTAGTGAATGCTACTTGAAACGTTTGACAGTTTTCAAACCTATCCAGTTGCTTGATAGTAACAACTCTCTACGCATGATGAAATAATGAATAAGAAAGAATCTATATTGATTTTATTTTGTCGCGTTTATTTCAAACAACGTCCTGTTTTCTGGCGACTGAAAATTAAAGTAATCAAAGTCAGATTTTGTTCTCTCTCGATGTCTTACCAAAAAATGATGCATTTTGTTTTGTCTGACAACATTTTAGTTCAGGAGAATTCTCGGCATTCGTTGCGCTTTGAAGTGATCAGCGTGAAATGAACGATCCCGGAGGGGAATTCTGAAGGCCGTGTTGTGAGGAAGTCCGGAGTTGTGCTGTCTTCTCACGATAAGGAAAGAACAAGACACAAGCCAACTGTTCTCAGAGTAAAACTTTTAATAGTCTCTATCAGGCTTCGGGAATCGGCTGGAAGGAAAGAGTATAAATTGGCCCAACTGTAGCCTCTGCCAGGCTTCGGGTGACGGCTGCAAAGAGTAGAAATTGGCCAAATAGGTGCGGCAAAATGTACTTTCAAGCGGACCCCCCCCCCCGCATGTTATCTCTCACTCTATTCTTACCGTTTGTTTTCTACTCTTTCCAGTTGTCTACCGAAGTCTCGTAGAGGTACTCTAGAACTACTCTTACCGTAAAATACATATAGCGGTTAGTTGCGTTGTCTGGCATGCTGCAAAACCATTTCCCACTCATTTTCTAATATTAAGGAGGTTTTGATTCTTGAAGAAATATTACTATGTTTATATCATTGATCAATTAGATATGACTTTGATAAAAATAGTCTCCTCCAGGAAAATTGTAGCCGTTGATTGTACAATTTTGGATTTCCTGATCGTCTCTTGTATGCAGAAAAGTACGTTGGAATGGAAAATTTCGTCCCACAACTTACTAGTATACCGTGCAAGCTGGTTTGTTTTGATAGTTTTTCCTGTGGCCTTGGCAAGGTGTGGCCATGCTGCGGCGTGAAATTACCTAGAATAACAAGCCGCCGGATAAAAGACATAGACGGGAACAACCGTTAATATGTTTGGACGAGTCATACAGGGGATACATACATGTTTTTTCAAGAGCTACAAAGCAACGAGGCTTCGCCACGGTTCGCGTTTTTTTAGTACTCTTTTTCAAATGGACGGCACATGGTTAAAAAGGTAGCCAGGTTCCCAGACCTATTATAGCTCCCGAGTCTTACATCCTCTCCGCAAATAGCGGAGTGGATTGAGGCTTCCGGAGCTGTAATACGTCTAGGAACCACTTCAACCAGGCTATTAAAAGGTGGAACACTACTAGCATTTTTTAAAGCAGGCGTAACAATTTTACAAAAACAGGCGTAAAACGAGAATGAGCCGACCCCTGCCCTTACCTCTGCTTGGAGATAAGAAATAAAACGTTACGATTTTCCACCAAACATCTACTTGTAGTTTAGTAGCTGTGGTCCCAACCGTCGGCACGTGTCACAACATCAGCACACACGCACGTAACTTTACATGTTCACAGGAGATCGGTGTTCGCGTACCGCTTTCAACAGCTAAACTGACAGGTGGATAAAGCAAAACAGACCTGAGGCTGCCCCCGCTGGCAGTCCCTCCGCGCCAACTGATAGAGGCACCGCGAAGACATTAGCCTCCTTTGCATAGTCTCTATCAGGCTTCGGGAAGCGGCTGGAAAGAGGCTAAACTTGGCCAAATAGATAGATGATATGCACAAAATGTTCTCTTTACTTAGCGCGGACCAACTCCCCTGGCATATCATCCGTCTATTCGGCCGATTTCTACTCTTTTCAGACGCTTCTCAAAGCCTGGTAGAGGCTATCCTTTGCAGACTTCTTGGGGGGGGGG